CTAGGCTCTGAACAAATCTTGACACCTTGCTGCTTTTTGAGAAGAGTCTTGCTTTGGATAGTGGTTCTTCAACAGTGCCTGCAAAGCTAAAGCCGAATGAAAAGAATTAGCAGTGATAAGCCCAAAACCCTCAGACAGCAAGTTACATAAAAGCTTGATGATCCAGAGGGTTCATTTGGCCCTTGTCAGTTGACAAGATTGAGGTACTACAGAACTTCAGCTCTTTGCTGAGTGTTTATAATAGCCATTTTTAATGAATGGAAAAAAGGACATAAGCCAAAAATTTTTTTGCGATGTTACAAAATTAAAAAAAAAAAAAAAAAAAATTGCTCTACCACTGCATGTCTTTGTTCAAAAGCAGCTGATTCAGAGTTTAAGTATCAATTCAGGTTAGCAGACTTTTCTGCCCAGATCTGAAATACTGAAACACACTCATTTTGGGGAGGATGGATTAAGTAGGCAGACAATCTCATTTTTCTGGAGTGAAGAAATTGTGAGGCAGTCTTTAGCCTGTTGGGAAAAGATCAGTATTTCTTTTGGCTGTGTTGAAAAGGGGTTTAGCAATGTGCACTGGCAGTGGAGGCAGCCAGCGCTGTCTGGAGCCCTATTTAATAGGAGCATACTTGGTATTTATAGGGAAGTGATTATTCCTCTTTGCTCAGTATCTCTTAGTTGTATCTAGAATACTGTGTCTGTTTTTAGATCCTTGATCCAGGAAAAACAAACTGGAAGCGAGCCCAGTGGAGGGACCATCAGGGTGGTCAGGAGGCTGGAGCACAGGCCTTGTGAGGGGAGGCTGCAGGGCTGGGTTGCTTCAGCCTGAATAATAGGCAGCTCAGGGAGGCCTAACAGCAGCCCCTTCATACCTACAAGGAGGCTACCTGCAGCACTGGGGCCAGGCTCTTCACAGAGGGTGAGACAAGAGAGGCATAACTTGTAGTAAGAGGTAGATGCAAAAGAAGTAGATGGGGGGATGAGGGGAGTAGAAAAACAAAACAAACAAAAACCAACAACCACCCAAGAAACGCCAGTTTTCACTGGGAGAACAGCCATGCAGTGAGAGAGGCTCCCTGGAGAGACTGCATTTTTGGAGGTGGTAAAGGTACATCTGGATGACCACTGAACAACCTGATCTGATGTCATAGTTGATTTTGGCCAGAGGCCTAGAGACCTCCTGAGGTTTCTTCTAAACTGAATTATTCTGTTATCACTTCTGATTCTACAGATAGGAGACTGAAAACCTTTGTTTTAGGAAAGAACTGTTAACCTGAAGTAAAATTCTTTGTTTATGGCATATACTTGTGGATTATTTTCAGAATGAGTTATTCTAGCACTAAAAGGTAACAAATAATTGCTATTTAACAGATTCTGTGACCTTGGCTCTTAAAAGATGAGGGTAGATATCTGGGAGGAAAGTGTAAAGCCTGTCCTGGTGCCAGGATATGAAGCGCCTTTAAAAAGTATCCAACTCTTGGTTAGCAAATGTGGTCCTCTGGAGTCTGGAGACCGAAGCGTTGAAGAGTTTGAAGATGCCTTTACATGATTAAAGAAAAAATACTCTACAGTGTTCAAAATAATAAGAGCTCAAAGATGCAGTTTGGATTTTGTGTTGGGGGTGTTAGTTTGTGTGTTTTCTGTTTGTTTGGGTTTTTTTCCTCTTGCTTAGGTAGTCACTGGTGTCCTTTCCTCTTAAGGAAAAATTTACATATATTTTATTTATAATCTACATGTTTACATGTGTGTTGGTATGAGTATTTTTTGTGCTTTTTGAGACATAATGTTTCAGAAACCTGGCACTGATGTGGAACACACTGAATACTAAATGCTAGGAAAATGGAGACTAATACTGTTCTTATAATTGAGAGGTGTGAAGAAACAGAATTCCATGGAACTTGTAAAGTTTTAATTGTACAACTTGATAATCGGTAATCTTGAAGCTTTCCCCCTCTATCTAGGTAAGTGTAGGAATTTAGTCGACAGCTTCTGTTGGTACTTTAGTAATCCTCAGTGAGAGAACTGCAAAATCTCAGCAAAACCCACAAACTAGGTAACAGTTGTTTCCATTTAAGTGTGGTATGAATGACAACATACTATAACTTTCTTTCATGTTCTCTGCAATTGTGTAGGTTTTTTTTTTCCTGCAGTCCTTTTTACAGAGCCTTTATTTGCAACTACCAAGTACAAGAATATATTACAGCTGGATCAAATGTTTGAGCCAACCGTAACAAAAGTGAATGAGGGTTAAAACCACTACTGCTTAGAAACCTTTTACATCTTGTGTATGAGTATATAGCTTTGCTTAATGCCAGAGTAGATCAGTCTTCTGTTTGGGACACTCTTGTTCCAATAGTATTGTTGGTGTTTGGAACAGCAGGTTGAGACCTACATATTTGGAAGGCCTGTGCCAATTGCAGCTATTCAGTCCTGGATAAATTTTATGGAAGTTAAAATAATTTGAGAAATGTTACAGAAGTTGCACATACTGGATGAGAAACACCAATTGTGGGTTAATGTTATATGAAAATGACCTTTATGTGAAAATTGGATGACTAACAAGCTAAATAAAATGGCTTGTTACTTTTAAGCTCTAGCATAAAGAGCTAGATGTGCTTGCTTATGTATCTGAAAGCTGTACCCCATCTCAACTGTTTTCTTTTGAATGGCAGTCAAATGGGGATGCAGAAAAGTAAAAGAGCTATGTATGGGAGCAAGTGGAAGCTCAGGATATATGATTAGGACCCCTGCTCATTTTGCATTTCTTTCACTCTTGTAATTGCCACAAGGAAAAACTTGTAACTGCTGCTGTAATATGGCAAACTTAGAAGTTCTGTTTGTTGTTGGTGTATTGTATGTGTATTTTAGAAGGTATTGAAGTGGTTCCAGAAAGAAAACTTGTTTCTAAAAGCTGAGTGTTATCATTTATCCTTTGGAGTTCTTTGGCCCATTTTGTGCGAGTCTGAGTCTGCCCCAGTGGATGTTCCATAGCTTGGATGGGCTGGGTGTGGTTTTCAGACCCTAGGCATCGGCAAGAGGGCCGGCTGTGAGCATGGCTGCCTGGTTACTGAGGAAGCCTAAGGCTTGCTACTGGGCCGTTTGTGGACATCTCCTGTCTTTGCTGTGATGGTGTTGCAGGTTCAATAAATGAAGCAATAGGATATTTTACCTGAATTAACATAAGGACAACATTGAAGCTACAAAGAGCACCCCTCAGGGGGACTTGGATGGATATGTGAATTGGGGACAAGAAGCAGGCGAAAAACCCTATGTACTTCTGGGGAGTTCCTTTTACAGCCTATAACAGAGGATGGTTAGGCTGTCAGTGCTCTATATCTCACTTCTCTGACCAGTCAGATTGGCATCAAGGGACTGAAAGCCTCCAGCAGAGTGGTGGTGTTTTATGGTGTTTTTTGTTGTTTGGTTTATTTTTTTCCAACAATAGAGTTTCTGCTTTCTTTTAGAATACCAGAAAAACAGGTTGAAAGGGTACTATAAAGGAGAACCTTTATGTTCTTACAGGTCACTGATAGATGATACATAGCACCTTGAGCTATCCATGTAAACAGGTTTGACCACAGTATGCACTCTGCTTGAAATAATCTTGATGAGCCATCAGAAATGGTAGATCAATATGCCTTACAATCCATTTAAAAGTACCAGGAAGGAACAATTTTTTTTTTTTTTCCTGCAAGCCATAGCTATAATTGCTATGCTTAATAAGTTAATATAAAAACCCGAGTGCGACTCTACTTTTAGGTTGTTAGGTTATTGTTCATCTGCAGTTCAAATGCTCTTTCATCTTTAGGATTTGGAAAAGATGAAAGAAGAAAGCAGGGGTCCTAATCTCTTTTTTTTCCCCCCTTCATTTCAACTAGAGCAATGTCAGTTCTGTAAAGGTGAACTATATTCCCTTCTCTGTGTAGGAAATGTTGTTATAAAACGTATGCACATATCTCAGTAGATAAAAAAAATTGAATTTTACTGAATTGGCAAACACAGCCTAAAATAAATCCTGTGTGATAATGGATCTTGCTATTTGTTCTTGTTAAACCCAAAACTATTTAGACATTTTCAGTTAACTAAAGGACAAGCACAGATCCATTTGTAGTCTCTTCTACATGTAGGTTACCTTAACTAAGACTCTAATCCAGAGGTATATTTGTCAGTTCTCTAAGTTTCAGATGCAATTTGATGGGTACCACAGTAGCTGTGTAGACACATTTTTACTTTTTTTTTTTTTTAAATACTCATTTAGATTCAAGAAAACTCAATGGAGCTATGCATTGGGTAGATTATCTAGGTGAATCTAAATTACTTTATGCCTTACAAAATAAAATCTTGTAGTACCCTTGTTTTCTGTGCTATCACCTGGAGTAACAAGATTGCCTGATCTCTGTGGACAAACTATGTTAATATCTGTAGGAACCCTAGGGTTGAAAAAAGATATTTTGTATGGAATGCCTCTAAGCAGTAAAATTCAATATAGCTGCAAACATGGATTGGTCTTAATTCTGAGAACTGTGCTGTCACAATCATAAAGTCTTCTTTTTTTTTTTATTTTTAACAAAAATCCCAAAACAGTTCCTAAACTGATCAGAGATTTCTCAAGTTACTCGGAAGGAACTGGCTTGAATTATTTCATAATAACCACCTGTCTGTAATTTGCCTTCGGACTGTATACGTAAGTAAACTTGGATGGAACTTAGAATAAGCATTTTTAAGATACTTGTTCAGTGTCACTTTACTAGTTCTGAAGGTCCTCAGTATCTGTTTGTGTGTTTTTTCTTTTTTTTCCAGATGTTACAGCTCTAGGGGAAAGAAATATTTATCTTCACAATTGCTTTACAGTATCTGAACAGTGAAAGCACAATGGACACTTTTTAGAGTTTTACAGAAATCAGAAATCATCTAGGAACAGCACTGTTGGACTTCAAGGAATAACAGACTTCAAAGAACCCATAAACTGGTCACTGATAAACCTGGTTCGGCCATACAGTGTGGGGATGAATACCATTGAGACAGCAAAGCTTGAAGAGCATATGGAGGGTCAAAACAATGACACTTCCAATGGCTACTCACGACCTACTCTCTCAGTCAGTGAAGAGAACAAAAATGGCACTAGCAAACCAAAGGGCTTGTCTAATGGCTTGCGAAAAACAACAAAGAAATATCCTGATTACATCCAAATTGCTATGCCTGCTGAGTCTAGGAACAAATTTCCTCTGGAATGGTGGAAAACAGGCATTGCCTTTGTCTATGCTCTCTTCAACTTGATTCTAACAACTGTCATGATCACTGTGGTCCATGAGAGAGTACCTCCAAAGGAGCTAAGCCCTCCATTGCCTGACAAGTTTTTTGATTACATTGATCGTGTGAAATGGGCTTTTTCTGTATCAGAAATAAATGGAATGATACTAGTTGGGTTATGGATATTCCAGTGGTTGTTTCTTAGATACAAGTAAGTATATATATTTCTTCTACTGCTGTATGGTTTTAGAATGTTGGTTTCCCACTTTTACTTTGGGTAGAAGAAATGTTGTAGTAGTAGAATCTGTAGCAATATTGTAGAATAGGGCTGGCAGGAAAATGACAGAGGGATAACTTCTTTAGAGAATGTTTCAGCATTCATATTGGATATGGAACCAGGTTTCTCCTGATTGTTGAATAATATCTTTTAAATCTGAGTTTCTGACACCTATGTTGTACTAGTAAAGTTTATTCTGGGCTTTTCAAAGCGTGTTTACTGATATGGCAGTGTTTAAACAGGGGGAAGCATGATGATGATGTAAAAAAAATAGTCATCCAAATTTGAGGTGGAACCCATTGTCCTCTACAGCTACACTAGAAGCTTTTACCTTTGTCTTCATTTGCTTAAAGTAAACAAATTAAGTCAAGTGTGTGGTTATAATATGGGACTAAAGAGAAAGAAGGTCACTGAGTTGAGGAAAACTGCCTGGCTTCACACCTAAGTTAGACAGAGGCCACACTGAATTGTTAGCTTGCTTTGGTGGGAACATTGTGGTGGTGATGTGCTATTGTGAGCTAGCAGGACTAAAACCTGAAGAAAGACTTTTTAGCAGTTTAGAGAAGCGTGGTGAAGAGCAGCAGGAAGAGCTGCTCTTGTTTCTAGGGATTTAGGTATCTAATAAAGCTTAGAGCTCCCTAACTGTTACATGTATATCCCACATGTGAACTTTGTACTCAGTCTTGGTTTTTTCTCCCCTTCCCTTGCTTGCAGATCAATAGTGGGACGCAGGTTCTTTTTTATAATAGGAACTTTGTACCTGTACCGCTGTATCACTATGTACGTTACCACCTTACCTGTGCCTGGGATGCATTTTCAGTGTGCACCAAAGGTAAGACCCTTTGCCCCCTCAGTCTTGCCCTAGCCTCTGCTGGAATCCTTATGGCTCACCAGAGCAAACAGAAGACAAAATTCCAGGCATTATTTAATAACGCATATTACTTTCAGTTGATGTCTTCAGAAAAAGGGATAAACCAAAAGTTGTGTAATACAGAGAGAGCCTCAAGCTGTTGATGCAGTTAGGATGCTTTGAAGAAGAGTACCTATGTTGAAATAATGCTTTTAGCAAACTAGTTAACTTACTGCTGAAGCTCAAGCTAATCACTCTAATACTGCAGCAATATTTTGTTCTTACATGGTGGGGTACTTTTAAAAACCCACCATGTTACTGTGTGCTTTGTCCTGTTTCTCACACTGTTTTCTCAAGAGCTATCACACTACCTGAATTCAGCTGCCTGTCTCTGCTTCCAACCTGAAAAAGTTATATAAATGTGACTAAAACAAGTTCAGCTATGTAAGTGAGCTTATACAAGTAGAAATATGTACATGCTAATATTTCCACAAGAATATTCCACAAGAAAATTTGTCAGTGTAGTTAAGTGGTGGGACAAAGGAATTCTTACTATCATTTTACATTACTAATCAAAAGTTATAGACATATAATTGTCTTGGAACAAACTGTATCATGCTGGCTGCACTGAAAGTGCTCTTGAGAGAGTGAGAATCAGTTTGGTTGTTCACTGAGAATTTTGAAACTTAAAAATATTGCTAGTCTGCCTGTGGGATAAATCTGTTATTTTTTGGGTACCATCTCATTGGTCTTGAGCTACAGCATGGTGTCTATTCAGTCTTATTCTTTCACATTAGGACAATTTAGGAATATAGCAGATGAGTTGCTTCTCTTATGAATCAGTAACTATATGAAAGAGTTTTATGTACCACTATTTTAAGGACTGAACTGTTTCATTCTAATAACTTGGGAAATGACTTTGTGTAGTAGATGGTGTATTGAGGGGTAGGAAAATGTAAGCAAAGGAAAACTTAAAACATCTCTGCTGAAAGAACATTTTGCTAGCATTAAAACTGGATAAGTTACTTGAACTCTGAAAAACCTGATAGCTCTTCTAGATTTTCTTTTTTGTACCATGTAAATATTTTTCTGATTATGGAAAACTCAGTTACCTCTTAATCTTGTTTATTTTTTTTCCCCTCAGAGTTAATCTTTAAGCATCTAAGTGAAACTGAGTGTTTTCCTAGTATTGATAAGAAATCAAAAGCTATTTAAAAAAAAATAATCCTGATTCTGAGTAAGTCCTGACTAAATTGATAATCAAATCTAAAATTATGCAAGTTTGAGGTTTTTGTCCTGTAAACAAAGAATGTCAGAAGCGGTGCAAAAGGTCCTACTGTATTGGAACCAGTTTTGAATGGGTATTATCTGTTGTGTCGATGGCTATCATGAGATACCTGACCTTACCAGGCTATAGTGTTTACCTTTCCAGTATATTCTGCATCTCATTCTCATACAATGCATATTTTAAAATAGCCTGGGAAAGCATAGATAGAATGCTGGTGTTATCAAGCTGATCTTTAGCACCTGTCAATTTTGATACGCATGCTTATTTGTTTAAGAAAATGTGAAAGAGAGCCAAAGAAAATGCAGATAACTTGTGTCCTTTACTCCCTGTCTCCCTGACTCCACATAGGTTGGACAAGAAGTTTACTCCAGTCACTTATGATGTGTCTTATATTTTTTTTTTGTTACCTTTTTTCCTGGTGTTCTAGTTGAATGGAGATTCTCAGGCAAAGGTTCAGAGGATCCTGCGACTGATTTCTGGTGGCGGTCTGTCCATAACTGGATCACACATCCTGTGTGGAGACTTCCTGTTCAGTGGTCACACTGTGGTATTAACTCTGATCTACCTGTTCATCAAAGAGTGTAAGTGATGGTATTTCAATACACTTTAACGATTCAAATCCATTGTACTGGGAAAACACACAAGTGCATATAAAACTATTGCCCTCAAAGTTACTAGTCAGCTGTACACAGGCTGTACATGTAGTTTGAAATGCAAATCATAACTTGGACTAAAAATGGAGTGTGGGTGTAAAAAAAAGTGGTGTGGGCTTTAATTAAGGGTTTAATGTGTCTAGACATATAATCATAGAATGTTTTAGGCTGGAAGGGACCTCTAGAGGTCATCTGGTCAAACCTCCCATACATGTCATATCTGTCTTTATATATAGTGTTTATTGGTCGACTGAAGCAAGCTAGCTCTTATTAACTGACAGGTTATTCAAATTTGGGGTAAAACATACTGTAGTTAATTTTGCAAATTAGCTACGTGCAGGTTGGCTGATATACATTAGATTTTAAAGAATTATTGTGGCTTGAGTACAGTGTCATTGCACACTTAGAGTACATCCAGAATCAAAGTTGCTTTTTTGGAGTGTGCTGTAGACGAGTTACTGTGACCAATGTAAAGGTGATTCGTGTTCCTTGGAGGTCTTCTGTTAGTCTCCTACTTAGGCCTCTTGGAGTTGATAAAAAACTTGGCAAGCACACAGAAGACGTAGTTGGGGTTACAGTTTCCCCTTTGCTTTACATTACTATGGGGCATGGAGGACAAATTATCTGTGCTGCACACACAGCGTTGATTGAAGCTTTGGAGAATTGAGCACTAACTTCTAAATCTGATATGTGGTAAGCAGTGCTTCTGCCCTGGGAACTTGTCTGCTCATGAATGCATAGTGGGGAGTTCTCTTTCTAGAAAGTTCATGTTTGGAATTGAAATCTTCTACTGTTGTGTCCCAAACTATGCAAATGCTAGCTTGGCTGATGGGAATGTGTAATTCATACTGAAGCAAAAATAAGACAAGCCAGCATTAGCTGAATACCTTTCTTTTAATAAAATGTTGAGGAAAGGAAGTGTTGCAGTGCTGCATTCTGCCTTAAACACAATATAAAAATGCCAGTTTAATACAATAAACTTCAAAACTGCCAATGCGAGACACTCCAAACAGTGATTTAAGATGCTGATCATAGTCTGCTGATTCTTGGGCCTAGGTCTGTTCTGTAAAGTGTACATTGTTTTACAAGAATGGCAATGGGGCAACGGCACGTGTAGCTCATCAAAATTGCCATCATAGTATTGGAAAAATACATTTGTTGTTTGCCTTGTTTTGTGTATGTTGTCACAGCTTGATGCTGGTCACATGCTCTTTTATTAGTCTTTAATACCAGGAAAGAGGCAGATAACCCAATATTTTTGGGGCTAGTATGACTCACATACTTCTTTCATAAGACTCTGGAGGAATTGTGGAAATTCTCCTAATAAGCCCTTTGCTGCCTAATTGTTAGGCATATATTTAAGTAAGTGGAGTTGTGCTCCATAAATGAGGAACGTATAGCTTTCCTTTTTCTGCCTTATGTATAATTAGCAAAATGTTATCTAAGCAAGGGCTTAAGCTGTAGAATTGCTTTGAATTACAGGTTGTTTAGTATCCCTTTCTGCTCTTTTGATGATATGTCTTCAGTAGGAGATGCATTGTGAAAGTTTTTTGTATTTTTCTGGCTTAGTGGATTCTTTTGGTGTGCTCTTCTATTACTTTCATCCTTTGCTGCTTCTTTACTTATTCCCCGGCACTCCAGCTCTTTTTTTTCCCATAATAGTTATACTGAGGCTAAGAATATAAATGTCTGTTTTGCTTGGGGCTGTTACTCAACTTTTTGAGATTACTTGACTCACTATAATTTTCAATTTTTAAAAAAATCAGATATAGATTTACCTGCAATGTCTTGAGGAGAGTTACAAAATCTTACTGTTTTGACACCTGCACCAAAATTAAGTCCTCCTACAGGAACTATTCTTCACATGCTTTTCAAACTATTACTGGGTAGGTTTAAGATCAGTAACCTTTCTGCTGGTGTTTGTGAAAGTACAGGCTGACCATTGCTCCACAAGGCAAGGAGTGCCAAAACCTCCCACTGCGAGCGAAATGAAGTCCATTAGCCTGTCAGAAGTTATGAATGGTTGTTGTGACACCCAAGGCATTTTTCAATGGGGAAAGAAGTGCAGGGGAACTTTTCCACTGAAGTGGCTTAAATGCATTTTGAAGAACAGCTTTGCTCCCATTTGTTAATCTTTAATGAAAGGGTATAAATTCACATACTGTACTTCCCTGTACAGTGTATTACTGTTTCACGGAAGAGAGCTTTCATGCAAAGCAGCTAAAACCTAGGAATGAAAATAGGAGTGTCTCTTCCTGTATAATCTGTGATCTCTGCTCAGGTTATATCAATTCCAGACAGTTTACTTGAGTGTAAATTTACTTGAGTATAGATGTGTGTATTGAACTTCTGCTCTTTTTACAAAGTTAAATCATAGTGTGCGCCTTGCCTCAATTTTGTCTCTTCCCTGGCACCCCATACCCTAGAAGTGATTTAACTGGAAAACGTAATTCATTTGACTAGAAAATGGGTGACAGTGCTAACTGTAAGCTCATTTTTTGGGTCATTTTACAAAGAGCTCAGTAAGTTTGCATAATTCTGTAGTCTTGCTTTCTGTCAAAACAGGGTTCTTACACCAATATGCTATAAATAAGTTTTAAAATTCAGTAAGCTGAATTAAATCAGCTCAGTTTTTCCTTTTGTGGATTGATATAATAATGTATATGGCTTTTGTGTTTCTGTTTGTTTTTTGTTGTTTTTTTTTTTTCCCCATCACCTTCTTATTTGGCAGATTCCCCACGTCATTTCTGGTGGTATCACTTAATCTGCTGGCTCATGAGTGCTGCTGGCATTATTTGTATCCTTGTTGCTCATGAGCACTATACCGTGGACGTCATCATTGCTTATTATATCACCACACGGCTTTTCTGGTGGTACCACTCGATGGCCAATGAAAAGGTGAGTGGCAAATACCTTTAGAATCAGTGTATGGCCTGCGTTTGTTAATACTGCTGAAAGCTCAAAATTACTTCTTAATTTCAAAATAAAAGTAGAGGTTTTATATTGAAGTCTAAAGAAGTTGGGTCAGGAGTTTTGCTTTACTGTAGTTTAAGTAAATATTTAATGGATTAAGATGTTCTTTATTGATATGGGCCTTGTATTTCAAAATTTACTTTTATTCTTGAAATTCCTGATATTTTGGCTTAATTTTTTTTAAACTTTAAGGCTTTATTGCTGAAGTTGATGTATATTGAAGTCTAAAGAAGTTGGGTCAGGAGTTTTGCTTTACTGTGGTTTAAGTAAATATTTAATGGATTAAGATGTTCTTTATTGATATGGGCCTTTTATTTCAAAATTTACTTTTATTCTTGAAATTCCTGATATTTTGGCTTAATTTTTTAACTTCAAGGCTTTATTGCTGTATTTGATGTATAGAATAGCCCTTGTTTGTCTAAGCTTGAGTAAACAGTAGTTTAATAATACGATCCCTGACTAACCTAAGTTACCTAGACCATACTAGAATTCTTGTGACAGTTCTGTAAGTGTCCCTAAAAATACAGGGCTCAGAAGGTATCTGCTGCAGTTGTTTCAAGAACACTTTCAAGCAGGAGCATAGCTCTCAAGCCATTTTAGTCTACTTTTCAGTGGATGTGGCATGCCTGAAAGGACTGCTAAGATTTGAGTGTTTTGTCTTCCTACATTTTGTACAGCAACAAAGCTTCCCTTTATGTTAAAGGTGTTCAGTGTGTAGTATATATGTTTGGTCTGTGATGTATATGCTATCTGGATACTTTTTTTCTAGGCTACATGCACCTTGTCTTTGCAGAAATAGATGCAAATATATTGCATCTTTGTAGTTGTCTTGACTCAGCATAATTGATTACAGTGCTGTAAACTGATGGTCTGTTTCCTTTTCTTTTTCACCTACTTGTGCCAATACAGACTTTAAAGGTCTCTTCGCAGACAAACTTTCTCTCTCGAGCATGGTGGTACCCAATATTTTATTTCTTTGAGAAGAACGTGCAAGGCTCTGTTCCTTGCAGCTTTTCCTGGCCAATATCTTGGCCTCCAGGCTGCTTCAAATCTTCATGCAAAAAGTATTCACGGGTTCAGAAGACAGGAGAGGACAATGAAAAATCTACTTGAAGAAAAGCAAGAAAGCATCTGCTCTGGTTTTTGGTTGGTTGTTGTTGTTCTGTTTTGTGTTGTGGTTTTGGGTTTTGTTTTTTTTATACCAAAACGTTAATGCTGTAACCAAAGCTCTTAAGAGGACTACACTGTAACTGAAGAAGTGGACCAATCTTCTGTGCAATTGATTGGAAAGACAATTGTAGACACAATTATTGCCATTTCATACGTTTTTCTACCATCAGGCTGTACAGACCTATTCTACTCTTCAGTGCTAACAGAATGCACCACTGATGGGATTTTTTTTTTTTTTATTAAAGAAAAAATGGAGCAGGACTTTGCTTTACTAATGAGATAGCGGTGCCAAAGACCACGTTAACACTTTCATTACTAACTATCACTCATCCACAGAAGCACCCAAAAATCTCATCTTCAGAGTTCTGGAGTGTGTAAGGGCAAAAACATGCTAAATGTAAAGGCACAATACTGGCGTACTGAGGTATATATATAAAAAAATTAACACAGTTCTGGGAAGTGGTTTGTTGCTTTATTCTTGCTAATGAAGGTAAGGCCTTTGTAGGACTCGTACAGCTGGAACAGAGTCTTGACTTTTTCTTTTTACACTCTGTGGGTACATCTTAAGACCCTAAAATACTGCTTACCACCATTATCTCCCATTAACCAAATATATACCAATTTTTACGTTTTTATTAGTAATTTTATATTTAAACTGTTGTGCTACCTGATGACTTTGCAAATTAAGAATAGCTTGTAACATCAGAGCTCAAGGAGTCTAAAATTTTATTTTTAAAAAAGGACAGTTTCAAAATCTAAATATTTAATTGAAGTTTGACCTTGTGTATATAGCTATACAGTGCCTATTGGTGTATGTACATGCATAGACACACAAAAGCACACAATGCTGTGTAGTTAAACATACACTAAACAAAACTATATATTGG